CACTTGTCACTGGTCTCCACGTGGACGTTGAACCATTGACCACAACTCTCATGACAAATAGTGCTGCCTACAACAGTTTGTTGCAAAACCAACTTTCAGCTCCTGCATCAGTATCAAAGGCAGATGTGCTCGTTTTTGTGTTCTCTGTAACACCAGCATGACTTGGTGTGAGGAGGTCAGCTGTGAGGGAGTCTCTTTTTCTGTAGGTTTTTTGTTCTGCAGAGCCCAGAGGGAGAGTAGCATTCTTCATGGGTTGTCCTCAACCATCAGGTTTTCCTTCACCCTTGGGTGTGGATGGAGAATACCTGATGAAGTCAAGCGTTTATGCAGGGCAAAATGCGGAACACCTCGAAAAAACTTCTCAGTCTTTCAGTTAACTCTTGAGATGACTCCATAAGCCTGCCAGCAGAGGCTTGACTCCCTGCTAGAAACTCCCTTCAGGTTACTAGAGATGCCGCTGGCATAGAGCTGCTCGGGTGCAGGTGGCCGGGGTTGTAATGATGCAGATGACTTGCTTCTTCTTGGAGGAGTTTGTGAGGAACGCGACAGTGTGTTGACATTCACCTCGTCACAAGTCTGACGAAGTCACCAGTTGGAAGAGTGTTACGAGTTTGCGGATTCTTTGCGTTTACTCTGCTCTTGTTGGTTCCTTGCCTTCTTTTCTGAGCAGAGAGCTGCTTTTACACCTTTTCTGCTCTTGAAGCATCCAGATCTTCATTCTTGGCTCAGCACTGAGAAGCTTTCCATCACTAGAACATCCTTCCATGAAGGGTAGTGCTGTGGTAAAGGCACGTTTTCTCAGTGTGGGTAATGCTCGCCCAGTCTTTAATTCCAAAGCAGCGTACTACTTTTTTTTTTTCTTTCTTTAAGGATATGGCCAAGAGTTGCTCTTTGTTGCATCTTTATTGCTGTCTGCTGTTTGCTTTTGCACGCTCGTGATAAAGTAGATGGGGTGATCCTATTGCATGCCCTGCTATGCACATCTGCTTTGCGTTGCTTTTTTAGACCCTCTTGCTGTATACGTGCTCTAACGTGAGCTTTAACTCCGCTTTGGTGTGCTGTTATTGACATTCTTTTCCATCCTGGAGAGAAAGCACTTTAACAGCAGCAGTGTTTTGCTGCTGAAGTGGAAAACGTGACAGTTAGTAACATGACATTTAAGGAAGTTAAGAGACATGCATCCACCATCTCCACTGGAGTAGTGACTCTTGCTTGCATCAATCCTTAGGCTACAAGCATCTTCCCAATGTTTACTGCTTGGGGTGAGTTGTTGTGATTCATCTTAAGGTCTTCTCCTTCAGCCGTTTCATGACCCTAGGGACCTCGGCCAAAGATCCCCAAGTATGATGGCAGGTTATCCATGAAGCGTGTCTTCCTTGTTTATTCTGTAAAACCAGAATTAGTTACTGGGATCTCAGAGAGTCCTTATTGCTTTTTGGACTGTTGTGGTTCCATTCAACCCACGAGGCTAACCCTGGTGGAGTCAGAGTGCTCAGCAGAACCTGGTCTGGTTGCATCGAGCTGAGCCATCACTCCCACGGCTCTTTCCTTGGCCATTTTACATGCTCTGTACTCAAACTCTTCTGGCAACTGGGTTTCCATTTCCAGGTTTCGAATGCATTTCTCAGATCGCGTCCCATTGCTCTGAACACGGCAGCAGTTTCTCTCACGCGTGTTCTTTTGATGGGCCTCTCCAGATGTGCTGAGGTTCCACCAGCAGGATGTGTTGGCATGGCTTCTGGGACAAGTACAGCCGGATATTTTTCCATAAAGCTCAGGTTCCTACTTAAGCAGTCGGAGAGCCCAGAGGTCGTAACTGCTGAAAGCAAGCAAACCCGGAGCTTGAACCCATGAAGAACATCTCTGGGGTTTTTATTGGCCCTGCAGGGCTGCAACTATTTCAGGCTCTTGGGTAGAGCGCTGTTGGATTGTCCTTGGTGTCACAGGCTGAGATACTTTTAGGGAAATTATTTGTCTTCACTGCCTCGATCCTGTGGAATGAGGAAATGTTAGGTTACTCCCTCCTTGCCCATTTTATTGGATCCATGGGAACTTACCATTTTTTTGTATGTAGGTGTTGAATGTCTGAAAGGCAGCGTTGCTATGAGCTGTGCATATATATATATATGTATGTATGTATGTATTTTTTAACTTTAACTGGAAGCGGGACTTACATTAGTCACAGACATCATTTGTTTTCCTTACAGAGTAATTCAGATATGTAGCTGTCTTTGCAGATTCTTTTAAATCGAAGTGTTAGAACGTGTTTCAAGCTTGCGAGGGGTAGGTCTGGTTTGGTAACCCAGGGTTTGCTCTGGCCACAGCTTAAGACATGCAAATAGCTTCCCTAAACTAACCTTTACGCCTATGCTTAGTATGAGGTGAGAGTGGAGCCTCACTAAAAGGAGGAAGTATTGAATAGTTTTGCAGCAGGGGTGTTGAAGTGATGATGGGTATCTTTATTTGGCATGTTCACCTTAATTATGGCTCGTAATTTCTTTGCTCTGACTTGCAGAGGGAGTGTAAAAGCTCTGTAAAATACCTACTGTTATTTTTTTCTCTTTTATAAGTGTGCCAATACACCTGTATCGCATGTTTGGCGTGAAGTAAAAAGCAGCATACAAGTATCTGTCCTGTGTTCCCCTTTCATGTGTCCAGTTAAAATTTGTGAATTTTTCAAACTTGCTGGTAACGTACTGTTGTGATGTTGGACAACTTGTGCAATTCCCTTCGTTGGGATCCTAATGTGGAAGTGATTTATGGCTGCTCTTATATGTCCTGTTTTGTTCTGTTGCAGCTAGCAAGACGTGGAATGAAGGTGGCTCTCATCAGTAGGTCGAAAGAAAAACTGGACCAGGTTGCCAGTGAAATAAGTGAGTGGAAAACTTCTCTAAACTCCAGGGGTGTGCTTTTGTAAATCAATGCAGCTGAACGGGGATTTCCTACGTGCTAATATATGCAGCTCTAACTTTGAAAAAGGCTTGCTCTTGTGCACAGTGCAGGTGTTACAGGTAAAGGCCTTGCAGACTAATTGGACAGGTATTCGTATTCGACCTCTGAGAACAGTTGGGTTTGATCCTGGAATAAGTCCTTCTAACATTGTTAGGCTTCCCTATGCTGAACAGTTTACCAGGTCAGCCCAAAATACTACCTTCCCCATAGCAGCTGTCTAAAATCATAATAAGGCAAAAAACACGTAGGCATTGCTTCATCTGAATATTCCCTTGGCTTGAAGCAAGTTTGATTTCATGGGCTTCAGCCATGAGGGTGGCTTCTTTGTAACTCACGGTTTTTGGAAACGTTTTCCTTACCTTATTGTATGAGCGAGTATACAAATTTATTGTTTGTAGCTTTCCCCTCCTTTTTTGTGGTTTTGTTTCTTTGTTTGTTTTGTGTTTATTTGGTTGGATAAACTACTCAAAGATCAGACGAGAGAATTGCAGGCTCTTTTGGGGTGATGAGTGCGCATAGCCATAGGAATAGAAGGAATGAGTTAATGTGTTTAAGAGCCTGTAGTAGGGATTATGTCTTCACTAAGCGTGTAGTAAATGGCTCTAATGCAGAAATAAGTGAGCAATGTAAGTATTCCAATCACAGATACACAATGGGTGTTTGGATGGGATCAGCGAGGAGAAAGCTTCCTCAAGTCTCACGCCGACAAATGCTTTTCCAGTCAGAGCAAAGTATAACCATAACGCACAAGAGTTCCTCTTGTCATCTCTGACTTTTTTATTAAGGCAGATTTCATGCAAGATTATTTGTTTATGCAGAAGCGTGTCAAGATAAAGTGAGAAATGTACCCTTGTGTGTAGAGGTTTTTGATAAGCAGGACTGGGAGTTGGGTACTATAAAGCAGGTTTCTTGGTGTAACGATGTCGGGTAGAGAAACCTTTAAGATTATGCTTCTGAGTTACATTCCCTTGTCTTGCTTAGACTTCCCTGAAATGGTTTGTGTATATAATGCAGGTAACTGTAAGAGCTGCTCTCCTTCAGAGCTTGGAAAAGTGTTATTTTGGCTTGAGGAAAATACATAAAGTAGTTGCGATGAGGTGGAGGTTTTGGTGCTTTGCTGGTAGTTTGCTGCGAGTACGTACAAAGTTATCTTGCGTAGTGAAGGTGGAACCATTAGAAGTATCTACAAATATCTCCTTCTGAGATCAAAACACTGAAGCATGAAGCGACAAGCTTCTGTAACAGTCTGGAAATCTCCTTCTGCTTGAGAATTAAGCATGATGCTGGCAAGACAGATAAATCTACAGCTTTGAGCTTTCGGCACTTGGTGATAGCTGCTGGGAGACTCCTTCAGAGAAAAAAAAACAGGTCCACGTACCTGTGTAGAGCAGCCAGTGATGCATAATTACTGCTAGGACTCACCCAAACATTTTCCTGCTCTTTCCTAAGCCATTCTGTAATGAGATGACTCACGATGGGTTGTCAGAACGTTTCTTCTGACAACAGCCAGCTGTCGAAACGTATACCTTGTTTGCTGGGGCATGTGCTGAAGGGTAAGGATAGTCTGCATAAGCAAGGAAGCCCGAGTCGTGCTTTCAGACCCTGCTAGATTTCAGCGGGACAGAATTTTCTCGGATTCGGGCTCTCTGCAGTTGGCCGAGTTGTCGTGGATGTTGTGTCGGATGTTGCTGTGGATTAGGTGGGAGGCTTTCTTAGAGCTAAGGCTTGTAACTGCTTGGGTGTTTCCTTTGCAGGCTCCTAAGGTAGCTTTAAACTTCCTGCAGTTGTTCTTCAAACTGAGATGGACTTGCTCCTCTTGAGTAATGACCCTTAATCACTTTAAAGAAGAACGGCTCTTTAGTTCCAGTTCTTTGAACTGTGGCAGCCGTGCATGTTTTCTGTTCCTTCCTCATTTTCACTGCTCATCCTCGTGAATGGATTGATGCCATAAATACTGAGAGAGCTTTTGGGGGTCAGGTATGCTCATTCTCTTTCAGAAGAATCCTTTCTTGTGCTCTCAGGATATACTTCTGTTGGGAGTGATACCAAAATGCAAGTTACGTAACTGCCATCATAAGGGAAGTCCTGGTACGTCTTTCTGAATGTTCAATGCCAGCTGACCTGGATCTGCTCTTTTTGTGTGTGCATGCGCATTAGACTGACTGTACTGATGTTCTGAACTTGTGGCTCTGTTTGAGCAATTAAAATGAGTGGATTAATTAGAGGTAGTTCAAGATTTTAGAAATTTTTCCAGCGTGTCTTCCAGCATGTCGTAAAGCTGATCTTTTTGTTTCTTGCCAAACACTTAGGATTTGCTGTCAAAGAATTCTGCTTCCTGTTCTCTAAGAAATAGAACATAGGCCACAGACTGAAGAATTAAAATCTTGGAATTTCCTCTTCATTGGTCATGGACCACCTTTGCATGGAATCCCTGTAGGTTTTGAGGAAACGTATTTGATCTTTTAATCAAGTTTTCGTGCACAAACACCAACCGCTACGGTTACTACCCGAGGTGCTTGGTCTAGTTAGACCGTGCTACGTACCAGCGTGTCTTTTAAAATATCTCTTGTACTGCGTCATTAAACACTTCCTGAAAGGGTCAGGGAGGATCCGAAAGGAGCAGGGACAACTATTTGAATTCCATGTAACAAGGCTGGTCCCTGATTTTCTGTGCTGAATAACGAGTACGGCACAAGACGTCGCGGGGTCTCCGTGCTGGCGGTTGGCTCAAGAGCCGTGGATTCACAAGCAGAAAAGCTTTGTTCCAAGGGAACCTGGGAAGAACTTTGCTGTAGAAGCTCATTACCTGAGGGCTGCGATACAAAGAATGTAGTGAGAACCAGTCAAGCGGGGAGAACACTTTAAAGAGAACTTGCCTGTAGGGAGATTGTCAAATGAAGAATTTGGTATTAGTGTCCGTTATTAACTGGTGGCTTTGCGGGACAGGTGGTGGAGTTGTGCATGAGCTATGGGAGGCAGTAAAAAACAGTTGTAGCTAGATAGTGTTCCTACTCACAGGTGTAAATATCCACTTACTTGCAGGTGAGCGCATACAAATGCAATGTGGGAGATTTTGTCAGCAGTTACTACGTAATTTAAAACTCTTTTTTTTAGAAAGTAAATTCCTATTTGCTGCTTCTAAGTTGGTGGTTGTTAGTATTACATACACGCAGGTGATAATAGTGTTACGTACACCCAGGTGAAAATATTAGCTCTATAAGAAATTTTGGGCCCCAAAAAGATCAGAATTTTTCTGGTGTATTCTCACAAATGATTGTTCAACTGGAATACATTGTCTTTTAAACCTTAATACCTTTTAAGAACTGGTGTGCAAATACTTAATTTGATTCTGCTACATGTCTGTCTTTCAGAAAATACAACTTTTTGCAATTAAAATCTATGTAGCTGACTATTTACTTCCAGTAAGTTTGCTGAGCTCATTGTGTAGCGTTCCTGGAGTTGCTTGGCCATGGTAGTTTCGTCTTGAGCTCCTCTCTAAGGCTTCAGGCACGTAGTAAAGTGATAGCTGGGACGTTTAGACTTGGGATCTGTTGTGTTTTTGCCACTCTGCTCTTCTTGGCGAGCACAAGGAAAGAATGGGAGGTGGTTTCCCTTCTCAAGATTCCTAGACAGGTGTGGTTTTACAGCTTTCCTCTGCTTTCATGGTGCCAAGACAACGTTCTGAAGCAGACCTGGTGGTGACCACTGTGCACGTGCCTCAGCGGTGGCCGTCACCGATGGCTACAAATGGCCAATGTCCCCCGCTCCGTGGCAGATGCTCAACCCCACCGACCTTGGAGCGCTTTGCCCTTTCATCGCTGCTCTCTCATTTGCATTTCCCCAGCAGCCTGATAAATCTTCCTCACTTGGAGCTGGCAGCTGAGAGCGTTTTAATAGAGGAGGCTGAAATGTGGACAGAAGCGGTGAGGGAGGGGAAGTTGTCTTCTTGCTTCTCTGACACAGAAATGACAAGGTTCACTTTCCTGAGCTTAACTTGAAGACTAACTGGATCTGGCAGTTATTTTGAACTTTTGTGATCTATTTCAAGGTAGATTAACGTGTCTGCAGCCTTCCATCATCTGAGCCACGTTCAGCTTGACACACTTGAAAGCCCCCTATGTTCCTTGGAGTTGACAAAACGGCCTCAAATATTTGGGATTTGTTTTGACGTGCTGAAGTCACCTTCCCATTACAGTTGCAGAGTAAGGATCTAGCAAGTCACAGGATGCAGCCCTAGGTCTACATCCACCTCTTAGGAGAATTCTAAGGTGGCAACGAGGTAGGATGAGCCTGTTGTGCAGGTGACATCCTTGCAAAAGGACTTTGTTTCCTTATGAAGGTGGTGGAACACTGGAATGGGTTGCCCAGAGAAGCTGTGGAAGCCTCATCCCTGGAAGTGTCCAAGGCCAGGCTGGACAAGGCTTGGAGCAACCTGGGCTGATGGGAGACGTCCCTACCCATGGCAGCAGGTTTGGATCTTGGTCATCCTGAAGGTCCCTTCCAACTTGAGAAGATCTATGAAGATTATTTAAATGTGAATTAGGTGTTTTGAGGTTCCTTTTCTGCAGAAGCAGCCTCTTGCACACCCCAGATACTGTGTCTGTAGGTTCAGGACTGACTCTGGAGCCAGCGGGGCAGACGATTGAGACTCGGACTGAAGAACCAGGAATTATTCATCCCTGGAAACAGGGTCGCTGCTGGCTCTGCCTGTCAGCACTTGAGTGGGGGACTAGGTTGCATTTTCTTTAATGCACAGAAACTTAATGCCCATCTCTGCTAATGACCTCTTTTTTTTGTGATTGCCCAAACCAAGAGCCCTCATGCTCGTCTCTGGGCCGTTCGACACTTTCAGTTACCTCGAAATCTGCAACCTGTGACTTACCGCTTCCCGTGCAAACTGAATATGACGTGGAAAAATGGGCATTGGGTTATCCTCACTGAGTGAAAGTCTGTTTTGCAAGCCTGGTTTAAGACAATTGGTGGAAGCTGTTGTCAAGACTCAAAATTCAGCCTTTTAAGAAGCTCTACGGGGAATGGACTGTCTGTGGCACAAGGACAGGGTTGGCTGATGCAAGCTGTGCTGTCCTCCTTCTACCCTTTCGTTCCATGAATGTATGTTTTAGTCTCTTGTCACTTTTTTAGCAGGTCGAGTTCCGTTACACCAAGCCCTCTTTTTATCTGTCCAAGTTGTAAAAAAAATCCCCAGAAGACTCCTCTGCTGAGGAAATGGTGATCATCGCTTTTATTTTTATTTATTTTTTTTTTTCACAAATAGGTTGCGGTGAGGAAAATGATTGATGCTAGTTAGTAGCTCTTCACAGAGGGAAGAAACTCAGGTGATCTGTTTTTCACAACAAAATTCCTTAGGAAAAAATAATCCATGAATATGAAAAAAAAATAAATTGAAAAATAGTGTGACTAATGGATGCAGATGTTCTTACTGTGTAACTCCTTACCCGTGTGCAGTGCTGAACTGGGTACTGTACTACTTTATGCATTAAATGTGGACTAATTAACAATGTGTTTTCCCTTACAAGTAACACTTTGGAGGACCCTGACAACTGTGCTTTTAAGCGTTGATCTTTCGACTACAGTGAACACTTTTCTGTGGTTGCTGAATGCAGATGAAATTATCAGGGATGTAAAAAAAAAAAAGTTGAATGAGCTTAGAAGTGTGTTTCACTTTTAAAATTGGTTGTAATTCACGTGGAGTTACTGACTTAAATGTCTTGGAATTGACTTGAGAGCAAGGGCACGATTTCTTTGTTCGTCCGTACCGTGGTACCTTTCAGCCCCTGTAGGTGACTCTGAAATTCTTCTTAGGAAGTAATTCTTCTCGTCCTTCTGGAATTCACTCTGTCGAATTTAAATCTTGGAGAGGGCGAAAAGTTGTGGTTTTGTTGAGGGTTTTTTCTTTAGTCGTTGCTGTTCTACTAGATATAAGGCTGGAGAATTTAGACTTTTATTCACAAAACTGATGACAAGTTCATATATATACATGTCAAGTGTACACATTGTCACAGTTGGGCCAGAATAATGACATTAAGGGAAATTAAATGTTACAGGAAGTATTGGAAATAATCCGTATGCTCTTCCCCAGATGAGTTAGTAAATTCAAAATGGCTTTCCTCATGATAAAACCAGCACCTACAATGAATACAAAAAAAAAAAAAAAGCATCAGAAAGGGTTGATTTTTGTGGTTTGTAATTAGGACAAGGCTGATTTAGGAAAGCTTAACGATGTTGAGCGTAATATTTGGGTGAATGGGCGTATTGATTGATCCTGTGGGTTGCTGAGAATGTTTTTCTGGCTCCGTAAGTGGATCTTCGAAGCTGTAATACATTTGTGATGGGAGTCAGGAGCAAATGGACGCAAGAATTAATAAACTGTGCTTTCTTCCTATGTTTTCTAGTCACAGGACTTCTCACACACATTAAAAAAACTCAAATGTCCCCCGTGGCTCAAGGGTTGCAGACGTTGGCTTAGAGATCTGTCTTCTGCTGTGTTTTTGAAAGCTGAGAAGCAAGGAATTGCCTTGTGCGTGTGTGTGGAGATTGAAACTCAAGGCTGCTCAATGGGATTGTAACATTTTAAATGAGATCTGGCATTTTTTTTTGCCCATCCGGCGCTTCTACGTGACTCGACTTTTTAAAATAGTCGCTATTTTTAAAGAAGCTGCGTCAATGAAATTACGCGTGCGGCTGGTGCAGCGTGCGAGGAATTCCTTGGCAGGATGAAGTCGAATGAAAGGAATCTCAACTTACTCGTTAGCGCTCGACCAAACATGCATTCACACGTGCTTTTACAGACAGGTTCTATTAAATTGTGACTGCACACCTCATTTTGCTATGTAGAAACCGGTAACAGCGTAGCGTTCCTACCTGGACACTGCTTTTGCAAGCCAGGTGCAGGCAGAGCTTTCTTCTGGCTACAACTTGCTTCAGCTTTTGTTATTCTTTAGGTTACGTCAGGGTTTTATAACTTAGGTATCATAAAAAAAAAAATCCTACTGTGTCTGTTGCTGCCTGTGGCAAGAGTCCCAAGGTTTTGCTCTACATCTCTTGCTTAAATGACCAGAAGACTCGACCCTGCAAATTAACCAGGAATGTGCAAGTTTAGGTTAAAACATACTTGTAGGGTCAACGCTGATCTCGCCTGAGATATTTTTGTCAAGGAGATCATCGAAACGCTGGCGTGTCTGAGTTGAGAAATGCAAAGGAAGTCTTCTGAATTTTCTTTTCCCGTCCATGGGACGTACAAGTGGGTGATGACCAGCTGCTGCCCAGCTGTTGGAAACGTGGCAGTGTCACAGCTAAGAGACATTGGAAGCACCAGCTTCAAGGACAGAACATTGGGTTGACTTCTCCGCACACGGTCAGGAGTGCTGGACACGCTGGCGGTACCTGCTTGATGAGATCTTCTAGCTGCTGACCGCGAGAACCAGCTTGAGACTCTTCTTTTGCTCCCTCACTTGAAGGTGCTCAAGCTCCTCACACCTTCAAGCTGAAAGCTCCGTTGAGTTTTGGGTTTCCTCTTCTCGGACAGCAAGAGCCCAGCCACTGCTGGATACCCTGGGCTCCCTCACAGCCTGCTTTCTTCTTCTGCTAAGCTACATCTCTGAGTCCTTTTAGCAGATCAAAAAAGGATGTGCACTACCCTCTCCCCTAGCCCACCAGTTTGAGAACATCTTAATCCTTCTGAAGATCAAGGAAATACCCTTCTCCGTCGTTCGTGTCGAGCGGAGCACAACTGTTCTCCCCTGCACCTTGGGCTCTGACAACTAGGACAAGCTTACACAGACTTTTAATGCTTTTTGCGTTGTCGTCTGATGTGGAGCCCACTTTGTCAGGTGTGTCTGCAAGTCTTTCCTCTGATCACCCCACCTGTCGCAGGTTCTGGTGGCTCTCCTCATTGCTCATTTTCTAAAGGCCTGGACAAGGGTCTTATAGCATAGAATGCTGTGGGTTGGAAAGGACCTTTAAAGGTTATCTGTTCCAACTCCCCTGCAGCGAGCAGTGATGTGAGGACTTTTAAAATTTTCTATTTATAGTATTAGGTCTGTCAGACATTTTTTTTTCTTGCCTCATTCTCTTGGTTCGTCTTGGCTTCGAAGCTGGATGGGTCACAATCTTAATCAAGAGTATTTAGTGTAAAAGGGCTGGTACCAACTGAGGGGATTTGTGAGGATGGTGCTTTATTAAACATTTTTACGAGTGGCAGCGAAAAAAGCTTCGGAACGACCCAAATGGATAAAAACATCACGTCTCTAGAAAATGCGTGACTGGGCTTTGCCCGCCCGCTCCGCTTGCACGTATTAGCTTTGTGCCTTTAATGCGGTGTCCTGTAAGAACTCGAATGTGGATGCGAAATATTAGAACAGCTGTGTTCAAAAATAGACCGCTTCTACCCCCCGTCCCCCACGTTGAACTTGATTTTCTTCTGACGTGATCACAAGACTGCTGCTGCTGCAGCAGGGGCTTAATGCTATTTACGTCGTCGTTTGACATAGCAACATCTCCCCCGGGGATTATCTTCTTTTTTTTTTTTTTTTTTTTTTTTTAAACAATGCAGCTGTTCAGGAGAGAGGAAGAGGGTGAGGGTGGGGAGGGGGGGAGAAATAATTTCCTTTGCCATGAGGGATATTGGAGGAGGGGGAGGGAAGAGGGGAGGCAGCCAGCAAACCGAGCGGCTTCAGTAGATTCATGATTCTGCATGAATGGACGGCAGGATCATGGGAGTCGCGGCTTTCCCTTGAATGGGAAGGAGCATCATGGGAATCTGGCTGCTTCTGATCTGTGGTGGGGTTTTTTTTCTTTCTTTCTTTCTTTTTTGTGAATGATTCTTTTCCTTGGCACCGCTTTTATGAATGGCTCTGGGGGCAAAGCGCAGTGAGAACCCTTCCCGAGCCGTCGGTGGGTGCCTTAAGGGACGCCGCGACGTTGAGCTGCTCTTCTGCTCCTTCGACGTCTGAGAGGACGTTGCCCCGATTTTAATTTCGTGTCATTCCTTGAGCTCGACGGAAGCAGGATGGCTTTTCCTGCAAGCACTTCTGATTCTTGCTTCCCTCCGTTTCAAAGCAGAGTTGTCTACGTGTGTTTTGCCTGTTCTGTTAAGGAAGGAGATGACAGCGTATCAGAACAGTTTTGGCGTGATTAAACTTGAAATTCTGCTCTTCTGGTTCACCCACACGTTCCCTTTTTGATTTATGTTCAAAATACTAAATATTCAGGAGGTTTTATGGTACCAGAAGTGAGAATGGAAACGGAGGGCAATAAAGACTTGTTGGAAAAAAGTGTTCCTGTCAAGATGTACCTGAATACTCTTGTGGACACGCGTTTTCAGATTTCCAGGTTGTTTTTTTGATTCTCTGTTCAAACCTGTATAATTTGTTTTCTTGCGGTCTTCATTTTCCCTTTACAAACAAAACGTGCTGAATCATTTGAGAATTTGTGTTCTCACCGGAAGCAACTTCATGTCGCAATCTTCTCCTGCAGGGTACGCTGAAACTCAAGGATTCCTGTATCAGAGGTGAAAATGTTAATGTGTGACATTAGCTACTTAAAATAACATTTTGCAAAACCATGCATCCTTTATCTGTACAGCAATTCAACTATTTCAAACTTAAAACTTTTCAAAACTTTTTTTTTTTCCCCCTAGAGGAGAAGTACAAAGTGGAAACAAAAGTCATTGTGGCAGACTTTGAAGAGAGAGAAGATATTTACAGTAGAATCAAGGCGGGACTGGAGGGCCTGGAGGTCGGCGTTTTAGGTTTGTATCCAACCTTTCTAAACCTTTCCTAGCGATGTTTCATCTCAACGTGCCTCCTGACTTTCTCCCCGTACTGAAGTTTCTTGAAACCAATTCGCAGAAGCTAATATTTGCCCGACTCAAGCTCTGTTGCTGCACACTCGGTTTGTTTTTTAGCCTCCCACAGATACGCGACGCGAGGTTGTGCTCACAGGCGTGCCTGCACCCTTAGGAATTGTGACATCAAACGTTTTCCACGTGTGATTCTGTGCTTTCGAAAGGCTCTTGATCTTACAACCGCATTTTAGTGACCTGAAGTGAGGTAATTGGAGCTAGAGCTGTTCCTTTAAGAAGCCTATTTTGAAATTAAGTCGTTATTCCTGTGATGATACAAACTTTGCCAATAGATGCATCTTGTTGTACGATGTCTGCAATAATGCCCAAGAAAACAGTGTATAGGAAAAACTCGGTTAAAAAAAATAACATTCAAGGATAAATCCCAGATTGTTCTCTAATAGTTCCGACAGCTTTGCGCACACACAATTTGTGACATCCGGTATTTAATTGCCGTAAAAATTCAAATCCGCTGGAGTAACTGCAACTGCTAGCAATGTGATTTGTGTAAGGGAGAGCTGTGACAAATCTGTAGGTGCCTTGTTTCTGGTTTCTGAAGGAAATAAGTTCCAAGGAAACGTTGAGGATTAAAATGAACGCCTGTTGTAATCTGTCCTGTCGAAAGCGAAGGCTCGCAAGCCGCCTGTCGCAGCAGTTGGTGTGGAATCGCGTGTCACTTAAATGTCGCAAAACACCGGCCAGCCTTTCGCTCTGCGAGGTACATATCCACGTGGGAAGGGTTTTTATTAGTTCTTAGGCTGTGAGAACGTTATGGTGATGCATGAAATCCTGAGAATCTGATCCTGATATTCTCAGTCAAAGTGGGCACTAAAGCAGTGAGCGCGTCGCGAGTTTTGTGTAAGCTTATTAGAGGAGAACAAGCACGTTCCTCAAACAGAGCCTGGTTCTCGCTTTTCTTTGCGTGAGCACCTTGACTAAAACCACAGTAAAAATAGCAACTAAATGCTCTGGAGTTGCCTACTCTCTAGCTGAGTTCCTCTGCTTTTTTTTCCTTGTTTCCATTGCCAGTGCAGGTTTGCAGAAAACTCTTTTCTAACTAACCACGAGTAGTTTTAGTAGACCTCGTGCTTGAGATCATCAGATTACATGCTATGTAGTTTTTTTGCTTTTCCCCAGATCTGGCTGTATTCATAAAAACAAACCACTTGCCAATGGTATTTTTCAACACAGGTGATGGCTACTCCAGGAAGACTACGTCTTGACTTTTTTTTTCCTCCATGGCAATTAATTTCATGCTTTAGTGCGTTGGATTTTGAATTCTGTCACGTTTGCTGCAATCCAGAACGTAGCTTTCACCGAGCTGCGTTTTTTCTTGTTCGCGTGAGGGAAAACACGGATTGAAATCAGAACAGCCATAAGGGATGAGATCTCAGATTCCAGTGTATTTTCTTCTTTTAGGTCTCATCTGGAAGACAAGGCATGGGGAGAGTTGGTAGCGCGACGTAGTTGCCAGCCATCGCCACTAATTATTTTTTAACCTTATACTTAGAGACGCAGGAATCTCCAAGTATACTCCTCGAGACCGAGCTTCCGATTATAGAGTTGCGCAGAGCCTCACGAAGAAGTACTTACAGATTGAAATCCTTGTAAACTTCTTATTTGGAAGCTTCTCACCCACGTACGAAGGCTAAAAGAGTTTGCATAATGTTTTGCTGTGTGTTCAAAACAGCGTCTGTCGGCGACTTTGAACATGTGCTAGCTACAGCAATATGTTAAGCAAGCAGAGGTGGGAAATCTTCCTTTCGCTCCTCTTCGGTGGCCCCGAATCTTGGAAGGAGTTTGAGCTGGATGGTGTATCACTCTGCTGTCATCCAGATATCTCTAGGCAATGGAAAACTAAATTTCTTGAATGTTCTGCTCCAAACTGCAGCAAATCTGGGAGAAAACGATGGCTGAAAGCGGAAGGGTGCTTACCTGGGACCCGGGCTGCAGCGTGGGGTGGGAATTTTTGTGTCGCATGAATCACACACACGTTCTAAATTCGGAAATAAGCAAGGTTAGTCCCCGAACCCTGCCCCGGTTCCCAGCCAAAATCCTTTGCAGAGCGATGAACTGAAAAATAGTTTATTTTAGGATGAAAAGAAGGAAGAAAATCTGGCTCGCTCTCACAAAAGCAAGGTTGGACCTTCTTCTTCTTCTTTTTAAAACTTTTCTCGCTTTTTAAATATAGCAAATGTCTGCTGGGAACTTGCCAGCTCCCTGTTCCCCTCAATTCCTGTGCTTTTTAAAGGTTATCTAAAATTTAAAAATTGGAAACACATGACTAATGAACTAAGTGCTTCCATAAATACACAAAGATCCAGCCCAAAAAGCTGTGCCACTTCGAGGGAATCTCTGAAGGAAGTTTTTTGTGCTTGGCCAGAGTCTCTCTTGCGCATCCTGCGTCGCTCTTGATCTTTAAATATTCTTTCAGCTCGGACGGTGAGACGATAGCTTTTGGCATAGGTGTCGGGGCTATTTTATTCTATATTAAAGGACATGGGTACCTTTTGATGGTGTTTCTTACCCTGTATAGGCTCCTGGAGGTGGACGGTGCAGTTGAGCACACGTCGCGCTTTGGGATTCTCTGGAGTGTAAGACACCATATAAATGTAAAATGTTGCCACAGCAACCAAATGTCACACGATTCACTTGCGTAAGATGAACAACAGATACTTAGGAAACGGAGATCCCATTCGCTTGCCTTTTTTTTTTCTTTTTTTCTTCACGTTATTTCTGGCGTCCGTATCGCTAAGTTGTATGAAGTCAGAGGCAGTTGAGCAGGGCTGTTTTCTGATGGTGGAACTTTTTCTCTGACTTGAGAGTCGAGAACGTGGACTGGCTTCATCTTGGAGAAGAAAACCCTGCCAGTCCTGAAGTGTTGAGGAAAAAAAAGAGAGGTTTAGGCAATTTAATACAATTAATTCAGCCGGGATGCCAACTGCCGGGCTCCTGCTGCCACCTACTGCCAGCACTGACTGACTGACCGCCGGGGAAGGGGGTGACTGGGTGGAGAAGTTCTGGGGAGGAGAGAGGCCCAAAGATTGGGTTTTTTGGGGTTTCTTTGTTTGCTTTTTGCTTCAGCTTCAGAATGAGCACAGGCTGGTCTAGGTGCGCTTCAGTGAAATGTCATCCCTACCTGTCTCCTCCCTTCAAATCTTCTTTTTCTCTCCCTTTAATAACAGTATTAGTAATAGGTTGACCGGCAAGACCAGTGCAGGGATTGTCCCCCTGTCCTTGGCACTGATGAGGCCGCATCTCAAATCCTGTGCTCAGTTTTGAGCCCCTCATGGCAAGAAAGACATTTTGGTGCTGGAGTGTATCCAGAGAAGGGCAACGAGGCTGGTGAAGGGGCTGGAGAACAAGTGTGATGAGGAGCTGGGGTTGTTCAGCTCCTCGAAAAGAGGTTGTAGCCAGGTGGGGTCGGTCTCTTCTCCCAAGTAACAAGTGATAGGATGGAAAGAAACAGCATCAAACTGCCCCTGGGAGGTTCAGATTGGACAGTAGGAAAAATTTCTTCATGGAAAGGGTTGTCAAGCCCTGGCACAGGCTGCCCAGGCGAGTGGTGGGGTCACTATCCCTGGAGAGATTTAAAAGCCGTGTAAATGCGGTGCTCTGGAACGTGGTTCAGTGGTGGACCTGGCCTTTCTAGGTTTCATGGTTGGACTTGATGATCTTAAAGGCCTTTTCCAACCTAAACAGTTCTGTGATTCTGTGTCTCACTTCGCTCTGTATTCATTTATTTATCCTCCCCTTAAAATTAAAAAAATAAAAGATGCTGAACAGCTTCACGTAACATCCTGAGAGCTTTCCTTTGGCTTGAAACTCTGTTTCTGCAGATATCCTTGAAAGAGGAAACGTTCCATGCTGAATACGCTGGCTTTTAACTTGCTGCAGAGCTAATATTTGCACCCTCCAAATGGCTGGTGTCTTCACTCTCTTGTTCTGCTTATGTGTGCACAAATATAAATATACTTAAGGAAACTTGGCCAAAGGGGCTGGGATGTTGTAGATGCAGCGTTTTAAGAGAATTGCTTGAGAATTGTCGTTAATGAGAGTGCGGGAAATCAGGTGGCGTCTGAGGGATCTGATTAAAATGTCGTGCTTTCTTTTCAGTCAACAATGTGGGAGTGTCCTATGGGTATCCGGAATATTTTCTTGATGTGCCAGACCTGGATAAGGTAAGTGCATTTTTGGTACCTTCTGGCGTTATCATTGTTCCCACTAGATGCTTAATGGACATGGCAAGTGTTTAGGTTTGGATAAGGTACTCACATAACAAGATTTTCTGATTAGAATTAAGGGTTCCAACAGCTGAGAGATTTACCCAAACAGCGTAACACGATTCAGACGATGGCAGTCTCGCTTTTTAGTGTTGTTTTTTATATCTTTTCCCTTGTTTCTTCGATCTGTATTTCAGTTTCAGACGGATGCTCTGGGGTCAATATCGGAATCCCACGCCTGTCCGTGGTCTCACGTGGCTGTGGTTCATGAGCTGCTTGAGCTTGTTGGGGGGTTCTTAAGTGACAGAAGTGGGGGGGAAGCAAGCACCTTCATGAATAGGAGCTGTATGTTCCATAGCTTTTCCTTATTTTTTTGGTTTTTTTTAACCTGATGATTAAACTTTAGTCCCTAAAACTGCTGTGAGACGATGAAGAGCAAAATACACGTTAATTTATGAACGTGTCTAGAATATCAGAAGTTTTTAAAGTTCATAAGTATTGTGAATGGTGTTAGAAAATACAGTGTCCATGTGATATTTCTGTGTTTTTTGTTAGTAGTTTGAGTCTCTGATTTGGGATAAAGCTTGACTGAGAACGATTCACAGACTTAGCTTTGGAAGTCTGTTGTCGTTCCTGATCCTTAAGCAGGAAGGCAAGGAGTAAAGGTGGATGTATAAGTGCCAGGTTTTATTTATCCTGGCACTTAAGCCCAGAGGGTGTGTAAATATTGATCAAATAACTTAGAACAACCCCCCAAACTTTGTTTTCTTGCAGACAATCGACAAAATGATCAACGTTAACATCGTGTCTGTTTGTAAGGTAGGTGCCCCATTACCAACGCTTGTTCTTGATGTCTTAATTCAAAAGGAGTAAACAATTAAAATTCAGTTGTGAAGCAATTGCTTTCACCCATTAGACCACAGGTTCATTTTTTTTGTCTTAGGGTAACCCAGAGGTTATGATTGTCCAGCCTGTTCTGACTGTCGTGTGAAATAGAATTTGTTGCAAAGATTTGCTGTTCAGATGAGCAAGGTGTGTACAGAAGCAGACGCCGAGTGCCTCTGCATGTTCTAGTCCTTCTTGTAGATTTTTCAATGCTTGTTCTAGTCCTTCTTGTAAATTTTTCATTCTTCTTGCCCCGTACGTGTGGTTTTTGGGGTGGGCAACCCCTGTCTCTGCACACCTAAGGTTTTTATACACCATCCTGAAGAGGCACTTCTGCGGAATCCACGAGTGAGAAGGGAAGCCAAGTTCACTGAAGTGCGCATTAACTTTTGAAGTGAAGTTACCTTCCCTTTTTGATACTTAAACTGAAGTTTCTATTGAGAAGAAATCGACCTGAATTTGGGTTAAAACACTTGGCTGTTCCCTAGAGGGGATAGCAGCTGCTTACACGACATAGGGAGTCAATTAGCGTATTACCAGCAAGTGCTGAAGAAACTCCTTGTGATTATTCACTGCTAAGCCTTAACTTCTTCTTCTTATGCGTAAGAAAATCTGCGTCTCTGTTAGCTGAGGGTTAATTAACCTTTTGCCTCAAAGGCAAAACATGAGATGGTTTGAAGCTGGCTGGAAAGACTTGATTTTCTTGCAGCTGTTCTGATTAGGTCAAGTACTAAATTCATCTTGCGTGGTACTTTCGGGGAGCCCAAACTGAAAATGTTTTGTTTCCGTGTGAGGAGGCACAGGACATCTTAATACAGATTTTTCCACACCTTATTCTGTAATAAGGCAAAAGGTGAAAATGCAACTGCTGCTGGATGACCGAACGTCAGCTTGGTGCTCACTTTCATCTGTATTTTATTTGGTGCCTTAGAACGGCTCGTTGCAGAGTTAGAAATGCTACAACAGTGAGTTTTCAGAAGCTTTTGACCGTGAGGGATGATTGCTGGCCTGGTGAGTACAGGTTTGTCGTTGACTGAGGACCGTGGTGCCCTGTTGTGCTCCAGCAAGATCCCACCGGTTGCTACCGGGTGCCTTTGAAAGCTTTCTCTTGTGGAAGGAGTTTAGCAGACTTTTTAATGCATCAGCGGAGCTACACCAGGTGTAAACTCGCAGGGATCTCTTGGTTGGAGGTTGGTGTCACCAGCAGAACGCCTCCGCTCAGGTGTGGCATCCGCACTGTGCCAGCAGAGGGAGTGTCCTCATCAGTGATTACAGAATTTGGGGTGTCAGTCTTTTTTTTTAGGATGGAAAAAGTTACAGGTGAACTACTTCAATACGTATTTCTGAAGATGGTAGGGTAGAGTAGTAGTTGAGGTCTGCTTTAAGTCGGGATACAGCTAAAATTCCAGAGGTGCAGCCAGATTATATTGGTCTCCAGAATGAACTGGCTTCAGTCATTGCATTTATGATCTGCAATTTAACAAAATTGTCACGTGGTCTTCACCCTTCTTCTTCACATTGACGTAGTTTTCTTCACACCTATAAAAACTTACTGAAGACCTGCTTGCTGTGTGCTAATAGTATTTTTTCTTTCTGTTTGGAAACATCTTCTCTTGACCGCGAGCAGCTCCTGCTACTGGGTGTAATCAGAATTTGAGCATAAGTTTGCAGGCTTGAAAATGTTTCCTCCTGCATGAGCCTGTTGTGTAATTAAACAGTAGGCATGCCAGATGCTTACTGTTTTGGGCAGAGGAGCACATTAGAGATATGTGCCATCTGCAAGGCTCTTTTTTTTTTTTTCCAGGAGAACCCACAGAACTAGAGAATCATGGTAAGAAAAACAGTTTTAGGCGAAGTCTGTATTTCTTCTCACTTAGATTTTTGGGATGTCATCCCGTGAATATTTAGTTCAGTGTTGATGCTATCTCTTAACCAGGGGTATAAGTGTATTTTAAAAAATAACAACTCTCCTTTGTTGCCTGATGAAAAACATGAAATTTGGGATGGAGGAGAGCACCAGTGTAGGCATTTTTGAGGGGTAACGCTCATTCCCTCACCTGTTGACCCGTCTTTTTGTTTGCTGGGGCAGCTCATTGGATTTCCTAGAGGATATGCTGCTTGTCAGAAGGGGTTCACCTGAGAGAGACGACCTCATCCTCACCTCACGAGATAAATTATCAGCCCGGTTGGTCCTGCTGTTTAATACTTTCCCCAGCTGCAGAGGATGTAATGCTATTCCCAAATGTTCTTCCAGGCTGTCTACTCCTTAGAGTGTTGTTGGGTTAGGTCACCTGTGAACCCCAGAGTGGTGCAATTTTGGGGCTCAAATCAGTCTGGCATGAAGAGTTGCGATTACTGTGATCTGCCTTGAGAGCGCCCTGTACACCACTGAAGATGAGACATGTAAAACACGTTGGAAATCTCACATCTTGTAAAATATTGATTAAAAAACCCAGCCAAAAAACACCCTGTCCCTCCAGCCATGGTGGGTTCTTTTCAAGTTCTCTGGGAAATGTCCTGGTTTTATGGTGGTGTGCAGCGAGGGAGCTACTCCATTCTTCATAGAACATACAGACCAAGAGGTACGTTGGATCTTGACAATGCCATAAATAGAATGAAGAATTTTTTTTGAGTTATTTGCTCAGGAAAGCTTGAGACTTAATACAGCTTTATACAAGGACGGAGTTGACAGATAAATGAGGAAGAAGATGGGGTAGCATGCGAAGTTTCACGGTTCCTGTCATAACCTCGTCTCGAGCTTCCAGAGGGATTTAAAAAGCAGAACTTTCCTTTAACGATTGTTGGTGGCAGTTCAGGTGACATGGGTTTGTGTTATAATTTCTTGATATCGCATCTCGTTTTGAGACACAAACAGAACATATTTCTGACACTGAATAAAATACCAGATCAAAAGCCCTGGGGCTTTTTGCTAACCAGCAAGTGTTGAAGAGCTAAAATTATAGTTGCTCTGTAGAGTTTTCATCTACAGTTCCTCTTGTAGCAACTGCATCTTCTTGTGTCAATTCACCTTTGTACGCTACAGATTTCACCTGGAAAAACAATTAAACTTGACATGGCTGTTGGATTAATGTCCTGAAAGCCAAGGATGCTAGAGTTGCTGTCTGATGGACAAAATGGGTGAGTAATGAGCATGGAGAGTAATTTCACATACTTCAGGGTGTCCTTCTTTCTCCTTTGGAAGCTGCAAGAGGTATTTTATAGATAGGGAACAGGAGGGATGTTCTTTTTGTTTGGAACATGGCAATATGCTGATGGCATTGGGGGTGAGGCGTGTTAGGCTTGTGTTCTCTTGAAAAACGAGTAGGACTAAATAGTTGAGGGGAGCGCTGGCTTTAGCAGTTGATTAAGGAAGGAGCTGAATTGCTTTGCAAGCTCTTGTGTTGTGGGGGAATTTAAATTTTCAGCTCGTGGGCCAGGCTTTGCTTGGAAACGGGTGTAAGAGCAGAAGGGGCACAATAAACGACATGTATGTTCGTGCCTTGCTGTCCATGCCGGTCTTCTTACATTTTATACTGAATATCACGTACAAAGGGATAATAGGCCTACAAGGTCAAGGATTTGTTTCATCACCGTATTTGAGAAGCTTCTAATTTGCATAAGGCTCCAAAATACGTAAATACTTTGTGTTGAACTGAGAGATGGAGTGTCTGCTGCCCTCTTAGTGGAAGAGGAGCAAGAGGTGAATTATACCAGGTTGTGAATCTCGGGCACGACAAGGGAACAACTCCACAAAGTCTGAAATGATGAGGTAAAAAGAAACCCAAAACACCGGATAACCCCACAACAGATATAAAATTGAACGAGGGAGGAAGTACTGTATTTGAGAAAGAGGAGGAGGATTCTTTTGTGTGTGAATTCCAGACTACCAAAGAGGTTTCTTTACTTTCTATATTCAAAGTCGTAATCAAAGCGGGGGTGACGCTTCAGCCAAGGACGTAATATCGGTTTGTAATGGAGAGAGACGGCTGCCACCGCTTGGAAGAAGAGCAAGTGTTCTGTGAAGGTGGTCATGAATATCGTTCGGATGGTCCCGAGGGAGGAATTAAACGCTGCGATTTCCCACCTTGCTGACTTTGAACCTGAGAGCGGAATAAGCGGGAAGCTGGAACGAGGGAATCGGAGCTGTGATATAAATGCTTTTTGGCAGCAGTCGGAGAAGCACTGGAGGTGTTTCTTCAAAGTACAAGTAACTTGTGGAAATTTAGGAAATCACAGAGTTCTGTGACTTCTTGTAGATTTGGGATTGCGACAACATCGTATCCCAAATCTCGGGAAGAGAAGGTATCCTGGGATGCCAACCGTATCCTGGGCTGCATCCAGTGTGGCCAGCAGGGCAGGAGAGGGGATTCTCCTCCTTTACTCTGCTCTGGTGAGACCCCACCTTGAATACTGCGTCCAGTTCTGGTGTCCCCACCGTAAGAGGGACGTGGATCTGTTGGAACGAGTCCAGAGGAGGCCACAAAGATGATCCAGGGGCTGGAGCAGCTCTGCTACGAGGACAGGCTGAGGGAGCTGGGATTGTTCAGTCTGGAAAAGAGAAGACTCTGGGGGCACCTTATCACTGCCTGCAGTGCCTGAAAGGAGCCTACAGGAAGGCTGAGGAGGGACTCTTTACAAGTGTCCAGCGACAGGACAAGGGGAAATGGATTTAAATTGAAGGAGAATAGGTTTAGATTGGATCTTAGGAAGAAATTCTTCAGTACAAGGGTGGCAAGACTTTGGAATAAATTGCCCAGAGATGTTGTGGCTGCCCCCTCCCTGGAGGTGTTCAAGGCCAGGTTGGACGGAGCCTTGAGTAGCCTGATCTAGTTGAGAGGCGTCCCTGCCCATGACAGGGAGGTTGGACTGGATGATCTCTGAGGTCCCTTCTAGCCCAAGACATTCTTGAATTTTATGATTCTATGATTATTTGAGCAGTTTTTTTCCCTTGGAAGGAGCGAGGTGGTGGGGAAGAGATGCTTATTTTGAGAGCTTTCCCTTGTAAACTGGACTCTGAAAGTTTGTTCCTCGAAATTAGGAAAACTTTCTCTCCTACAGCCGTTGCTTGAAGGTAAGTCACCACCAATCAACGAGGCTTTTGCAGTATATTCCACTTGTAAATCCCATTCGTAGTTCCCTCTGTGTGTCCTGTGCCCCTTTCTGGTCGCTGACCTTGCCCCGTGGGTTACTGCGTGATGTTTCTGCCGAACTGACATCAGGTTTACTCACCGGTTTTGACAAATACAAATCATTCTTGTTCACCGTGAGGTACCAGCTGTTTTGTTTCAAAAGAGACACATTTTTAAAAACCTTCGCAGTAGATGAAACTGTGGTGTATGAGATTTCTGGCTTCGTGTAACAGTTGCGTGGCCCATAAGATGCGACAGTTGACTTTGAGTAGTTTCGGCAGCTTTTCCTATTGTATTTTAGCAGTCAGAGTGAATATCCCTTGAAAGGCATTCAGAACTTCCCAGATTATTGTTCTTTCCTTAAGCTCTGCTCCTGGGCTATTGCTTGGATTGGATTGAGAAAAGACTACAACTCTGCCATCACTAAGAAGAGGAGATTTTTTTTTTTCCTGAAGAAGAAATACAGGAAATACATGATTATAACTTCTGCCTATTTGTTAGTCCTCAAATACGAGCTTCAAAGTGTGGCACCTGTTTTAGGACATAAATCGAGCCGCGTGGCCGTGTGTTTTTATATCTGCAAGTAGGACATTTTAGATGGAAAGTGGTGTTCCTTTTGCCAAAATTAGAAGGTACAAGACAGGTCTGGTGAGGAAGAGTGGACAGTACAAGCGGTGCTTGCCAGGCATGCAATAAATGCAGCTGCAGACATCAAGACATGATAACTGCCTGTAAAAGATCAATTAAATGCTCTGACATGAATCTTTACCTGAAGTTGGGGCCATTTGCTGCTGGAACTTAAGAGCTGGAGAGTCAGGTGTGCTAAAAGTTGACGTAAAAATAATGCAGCCCTCTTGCATTATTTTGGGTACCAAAAAGGTTATGGATAGTTCCCAACCTCTCCTTTGTTTCCTGCCTTTCCTCTTCCTTATTTGTTAGATTTTTTTCCGAGAAGAGAATCATGGAGTTCTCTGGCATCCTACAGGCTCCTGCAGGCTCACGCTTGGGATGCTTTTGGCATTTATGCCGTTACAGAATGGGTTAGCTCTAAATAAAGCTAAAATTTGTATTCTTTATCTGGAAGATTTCATTGAATTCTGGAATTATTTATTATTTATCAACAATGTATTCAATTTGTTGTCGAGCTGCCTGTTTCAGCCTGAAGACGGCAGCAGGATGCCCTGCCAGGGTTTTTTCCAGTCGTGCTCTTGCACTGCTGAGTCTGCGTGTGGACTTGGCTGGGTGAGGTGAGATTGACTCAGAGAGCTGCCTTCTGTTACTTTTAATCTTTTTTTTAAAATGGTATTTTTTTCCCTCTATGTAAAGGTACTGAATATTCGTATATCTCTCTTCACGCATCACAAGATGTAAAAATAGAGATGGGAGAAACAGTTTTGCCCTGTTTCACAGGTTATTAATTTTTATTTTTTTTTTTTAAATTCCCTCAAAATATTAATGGAAACAAACGGAACTGATGTTGAGTACGAAATTTGGTTTTGCACGTGGAGACAGGAAAACAAAAATCAGTGATTGCCGGTCCAGCTGAACTTTAGAAACAATCTATTTAACGTAGCTGGTGGTGAGAGACTTCTTGATTTCTATCTGAGGTGTGGACCTATTGTAATATCTCAGCTGCTAGTTTTTAATTTATCCAGGTCAAACAATGACTCCAGCACGTTTTTCTGTGCCTCGTGCTTGGATGTCCCTAGTCAGCGGCAGGTTTGTGGCGTGCCGCTAGAGCTCCTTGGTGGCTTGCAGTTGGCATTTAGACCGTGAACGCGTCGGCGTGGCTTTGTGACAAAAGTTTCGCGTGTGGGGTCCCCTCTGCAGTACAACGGGAGATCCCGGGCTGGTTTTTCCAAGCGTTTATGGGGTTTTTTGGAAGTTGCATGGGGTTTCTTCAGCTTGGTGATGTTTGCCAGCTGCAGTCATACGTAAGGGGATAGGAATAGGACTGGCTTGCTGCAGTAAAATTTGTTTCTTTGTAATAAAGTGCTTGCGGGTGTTTTATGCTCCTGTATATGCTGATTTCTCCTTTTTATATGCAGGGTTTTTTCCTCCCATACTACTCAAATGTTTTGTGTTTTCAGCTATCAGAGTAATTTGGGATCAGTGGGAGTACCATTATGTTTTGGTGCCATTAGTATCTCGTTATCCCCCCCTCTCTGTGTTCTGAAGGTCTGTATTGGAACACCTTGTAAAGATGGGAAAAGCAGTAAGACTTTCTGTTTCTTGTCTGATCTGTTGTTGGCGTCAGTGACGTGACATTTATTAATAGGTTTGGTCAAGGGCAGGGTAATATTTGGCACAGCTGAGCTTCGACAGCATTATTTCATAAAGTTTTGTATTTAAATGTTATTTCAGGATGGTAGTAATTAACAGTAGGAAAAATAACTACTTCACACTAATTAAAAGTTTGTCGGAGGTCGAATCAGTGCTTGATTTGTTTCCTTTGTCAGGGTTGCTCTGTCTGCAGCTGGGAAGCTTGGTTTCGGAGAGAATCCTTCAGCCAGGTTGTAAATAGGTTACTCCAACTCATAAGGAAGGAGCAGCGAGGATGTTTGCCAGGCTGCTTTCCTTGTTGGGGGTGTGATAACATCTGTGTAATCAGCAAAGAATGTTTTGCGGTCTTGAATGTTTTCTGTAGGCGACATAATACAGGAAACTTACTTTCTTTACTTCTGTGAGGTGCTCCTGCTGCTCCATGATTTATTTAACTTGAAACCAGCCGTTCAGTAAGCCTGGCGAAAACCACATTGGATATTGTCTTGAGCCTTGGCATAGATGGTAAATTTAGCTGGTCTTGGTGAAGACAAATGCTTTCTGTGTGGTGCTCTGGTGTTTTAATGTTCTTTAGAGGCCACGGAGCGGTGAAGGTGCTTTTTTTTTGTTTTATTTTCTCTTACGGTTCTTCTGCTACGAGCTGGGTGGGTTCACGGGATTGAGCACGCACGCTACGTGCCAGAGCCAAGTTACCCAGGTAGAATAAAAATAAACTGCCCACGCAAAGTATGGTCTCTTCTTCGCTGAGCCTCGGTTGGGACGGAGGGGGTGGCAGCTGCTCCTGGGAGGACGGGAGGCTTCCCTCGCTCGCTGGCTGGTTGGTGTCTGCATTCTCAGCCATCACGAATGTTTTCTTTTTTTTTTTGCAGATGACACGATTGGTGCTGCCCGGCATGCTGGAAAGGTGAGTCACCCTAACACTATCCAGACAAAGTCATCATTATTTATAGGGGAGAATCCTTTCTTGAAAAATTCATTACTGTGACTAATCAGCCTGGTCTCCATGTTTTAATGGCAGAGTAATGCTGGGTGAGTCACGCTGATGGGGCATGAATCATCAGACGGTGGAAGCCTTTTCCACTCGATTCCCTTTTTATTTTTCCTCTCCCTTCTCCACTGTTGTGGTGATTCCTTTTAGAACAGAATTAAAAAGCCCGTCTGACTCACCAGCACTAACTCAACAACCTGCTATTCTGAGGGGGTGGTTACAGTTCCTGGGAATAACCTTCTTAGGGCTATTTCTCTAAGTCATTGTAAGTAAAATGGATGCAAAGAGTATGTTCTCATTATACAGTGGGAGGTGTATTGAGGAAAGTCTGTGATCGTTTGGAAAAGTAGAATTGGAGACCGGCTCTTTAAAATGGGAGTTAATGCACACCGCTGTCGCCGCGGAGGAAAACGTGTGCTGACTTCCTAGCCAGCTCCCAGGTGAAACGAAAAGGTGCCCAGTTTCCATGGAGCCCCTCCAGGCTCTTCTCTCGCTCATGTTGGCTGTCCCGGGCTCTCTGCCTTCCGCGGGACAGCCTCCAAGCAAATACTGTAGGAGGAGCGTATATATGGTGTGAACCTCCAAATCCGACCAAGATTAAAAAAAAAATAAATAAATTAGTATTTCTTGTGTCATCCCACTGTCTGGGAGTCTTTGTTGCAGATCGGGATTCGATTATTCAAGTACCTGAAGGGCACCTACAGGAAAGCTGGGAAGGGGCTGTTCACAAGGGTGTGTAGCGACAGGATGAGGGACGGGGGTTTCAAACTAGAGCAGGGTAGATTTAGATTAGATGTTAGAAGAAACCTCTTTACAATTAGGGTGGTGAGACCCTGGCACAGGTTGCCCTGAGAGATGGTGGAGGCTTCATCTTTGGAGACATTTGAGGTCAGGCTGGATGAGGCTCTGAGCAACCTCATCTGGTTTAAGTGTTTCACATCCAGAACAAAGTTTCTTCGTGGGCACGAACTGTCAGAGCTGGTGGCCGGTATGGGAGCCGGTGTCTGGCACATCAGAGTGATGGCAAACTTAGATTTTTAATTAAACAATCAGGAGATAAGAATGAGTTTACTTTGTGCAGAGAAACTTGAATTAGAAAAGAAGACCCAAGACCGAGCTCTGGGACAATGGTGTAATATTTCCTGGTAAAATTGGCGTAAAGGATGAGGATTACAGTGGGGTGGTGGGACCTACTCAGGATTTGTAAGTCAAAAGGTGCTCCTTGCCCATGTACTGTTAATAGATAAAAGGACCTGCCTTTTGTGATGCCAGTACCCTCTGAAGATGCTCTTCAGCCTCTCAGGACAGACTGATGCATACTCTATTTAGAGAATATCCTTTGTATGTTTTTTTTGTTATGTATTAAGGTGGGTAAGGTGGTTTGAATGAAAGGCAGCAAAGGGCGATGCTGCTGACTTGTGATTCTGACCACCCTTGAGCACACCATGTCATGCTTCTCACTTTTTCTAACCACGTGATTAGCTCGGGAATCTCAAGGATAAATATTTAAGAAGCTTGGAAAGGAAAGGTGGTTACAAGACAAAAAAAATAAAGCACACATCTTGATCTTCTTCCTGTGTGTGAGGAGCCGCTTTAAATGACTGCTCCTTTTGAATGAAGCCCTTGGTTTCTGTCCCAAGGAAAAATATTTGAAAAAGCTTCCTTTTTCTCTTTGTTGTTGTGAAGTCAGCTGGGTTTGCAGTGCACGGAAGCGACGTCTGCAGCTGCCAACTCCTGCATAGTCATAGCTCTCAGGCCATTAACATCACTAAGAGTCTGTAACCACAGGAGGACATGAATGTCTGGCCAATCCAAGGGGCATGAAGGAGGGGTAGGTCTTTGGGCCAGCCATAAATTGCTCAGGTGGGACCCTGTGGGTTAGGAAAAAGGGCTCCAGGCTCTAAGAATAAAACTAGGAATCCCATCCTTATTCCTCACTAGTTCAAGGAGGATAGCACGTCGACTAGATAGATGTGAGGCAACACGCTGTAGCATCTTGCAGCTCGCTGTGGTGCATGCTTTTACGTATTTGACTGTTGGTTTTATGGCATTATATTACCAGACAAACATGGAAATAGAGCAGACTTTACATGCTTTGCGTCCAGGTCCGCAAGGAGAAAACACGACGGCATCTCGGTGTGTTTGTTACTTTTTGTTTGCGATAAACAGCAGCGTTAGATGAATGCCACTTCTGGTAACGGCGTTCAGATTCTCTGCTGTGGCTCTTCTCCTGCGCTCTGAACGCTTAAAGTGACAATTTATAATCTGCAGCTTCCTCTTACACTTAAATGAGCAGTTCCTCTGCAAATGTTCAGGCTGCTGGCTAAGGTGGGAGACTCAGAACTGGAAATCGAGGCTCGGCGTCTTTGGGAACAAAACCCAAAAGAAGCGAAAACCAAACCACCGCCGACCAACAGTCAGCTGACTGCTTCTTGACAAATATCAAACTATGGTATTTATTGCCGGGGAAGTAGCAAGTGCATAATTACATTATAGAGGAAGCTTGCTCTTTCCACTTGGCATGCGGCTGGAGCAGGCGCTGGTTGCCACAGCAACAGGGAGATGGCTAAATATAGCCTCCCCGCCGCTGGACCGCTTAAGGTAGAATGATGGGGAGGTGTGAGGGTGTCAGCCTGGCTCTCTTCATCTTAACCAACTTGTTTTTCCCCCCTCCCATTAACTGCACAGTCTGTTTGGATAGAGCCAAACTCTCTTCTTTGCCGCGCCAACGCTCGCGCGGTCCTTCGGGTCCCTCCCTGCAAACGTTTCTTTCGCGATTCCCGCGAGAGGCGAAATTTTCGTTGGAGCGATTGGAAGCGTTGGCCCTACGCGCGTCGCTTCCTCGTTTCCTTTCATCTGGAGGTTTTAAGTTAGGAGCTTTGAAGGCTAGGCCTGTTTTCTTTGCAAAGAGAAAATACAAACCACAAAACTCACAGTGGCGTCGACTGCTTCAAAGAGGACCTGTATGTGGAGCTTCTGCAAGGAGCTGCTATTCATTTGTTGCTTTTTCAAGAGGGTTTTCTGCACCATCCCTGGGTGATGGTCACTACCGCTGTGAGACCGGTGCTTCTCAGCTGGAATGCCACCTCTCTTCTAAAGCTTCCTTTTGTTTTAGAAGCACGAGGCTCGTGTTTATCTGTCAAAGTGCTTTTACTTTCTTTTGAATCCTTTTAAGCTCTTTGTCCTCGATTTTTAAGTTTTGTGGCAAGTGCTGCTGTAGCCTGAATACGGGAAGAGCGCTGCCTTTTCTTCAGATCTAAATTGCAGCCTTTCATTTAAATAAATCACACCTTTCCTTTGCGTTCGGAGAGGATAAATCACGATCTTGATCTTTGTCGTTCGTTACTTTGTGTACTCTTATCGTGGCTGCTCTTAGTAGTCTCTTAAATAGCTAAATTGAACCAATCTTTTCACCTCATCGATGTACTGAGGTGTTGGAGGTTTTTTTTTTCCTTCTTTTTCCCTCTTCTTAAGTCATCAGGTTCTTCATATTTTTGTCCTGTGTTTGGAGGGATAAAAGTGTTCTGTAGAGCGTAACACAGGATTTTGCTGGTGGTGGATCTGTTCTTGCCATTCCCACCATCCTGTTTGCTGGCTGTTGCACGAGAGAGCTCCCTGTGGGCTTTGTTCAGATTTTCCAGGGAGTAGATAGTTGATTTAGAGTCCTGCAAGGTTTGTGATTAATTCACATTATTTTCTTTAGTATGAGTTGTTGGGTTTGTTAATATTGATTTTTCGTCTGCCATTCTTTAGTCTGTTCACCTTGTAGTCTGAGCTCTTTCAAAAAAGTTGCTCATGGTATTCTCCAATCTGGTAATCTCTTAAAAACTGCGTGAATACTCATTTCACTGCTAATCCCCATCTGAGCTCATGAATAAATATCACAGGCACCACCTGTCTTGATCTGAAAAATGTTCTGGCATCCACTGTTAATTTTTTTGCAGTCGTGAAAATTCCTGATTAATTCGTGGTCTTCTTTTCTCCGTCCTATGTATTTTGATCCATGTTAGTGCTTTATTTCACCGCCCCAACCTTGCCAGATAACTCCTGAAAAAACACAGCGAACTTTGGCAAGGGTGTCTCAAATCCTGACTGACTGGAATGATTCTTTTCTGCCACGTTAGCCACCTCGTTTCTAGAGTGAATAACTTGTGTGTTTAATTCACACCTGGATGATGGCAGAAGCCACGTTGGTGTGAATCTATTGTCACGATTTCCAATCAGTTCTATCCATTAGATTTGTCGCTGTTGCTCAAACTCAACTTTCTGTCCTACCTTGGCAGAGCAGGTGGTAGCTGATTTCAGACTGATACTCTTACCCAAGTGTTATTGTGGAATCCCTCTGGTGTTACTGTAATGCAGCTGTAAACCAGCTCTTCTTTAGTCACCCTCTGAATATCTTCCATACTATACTAAAAAGCTTCTGTATTTGAGCAGTAGGTTCAGATACTTCCTATCTTGAAGATCCACCATGAAGGAACAGAAGATAAAAGGCACGATCCAAGTGTGAACTGTACAACAAACCTCTGTTGGTGTTTCAGCCACCGTAGCCTGAGATTTAGAAGTTGTTGGCTTACGCCAGCATCGCTCAGTTGGTTTTGCCTAGTTTAGCCCATATGTATGTAAGGAGCTTGATTCTCTTGCTGTATTGACCTTGGAGTTGTTCCTGAGTTGTAGCAGCTGCTTGAATACTCATATTGTGCTTAAATAAATTTTCATGTAGGGTTTGGTTGGAGGTTTTGAGCAGGTCTTCATCTCAGTTGCATCCTAAAGGTTTTCCTTTAGGCTTGTGGTAATTTTCTAGAATACCAAAGATGTTTTCTTTATTTTAAGGTAATATTTCTTCACTGCCTTTCAGATCAAAAGGGGTAATCCTGAATATCGCCTCAGCTGCTGGGATGTATCCAACTCCGCTGCTGACTCTTTACTCAGCAACCAAGGTAAGTAAGTGTTCTTCTCCACGCCGAAAACAAGTGTCAGGCGTAAGCCCGCGCTGCAGGAGCAAATGTTTTGGTGTCCATCTAGTGGTGCTTTCATGAACTAAAAGTGCTTAGTTTCTAACTTAATCATTTCCGTGCCAGCAAATCCCTGCGCTCATTTTTCTCTTGACCTTCCAGCTTCCACTACTGGAAAAAATTATTTTTCACGTTTCTAATTATACATAGGAAAGGATGCTTGTGTCCCAAGCAAGCTTAGGGTGAGGGTGAGAGAGGACATTGACTAAGTTTAGCACACTTTCTTGTTTTGACTTTGAAAGTTTTTTTTCCCGATCTTACTGGAGACGTGTATCTTCAACATATATGCACAGATATTCATTTAATTAGGTCTCTTCAGCTGCTTGCTGGAAGCAAACATTTGCTCTGCTTTTTTTGATAGTCGCCTTGAGTTTGGCATCTCAGGGAAGAGAAAGGAGAGAGCTGTAGGACCTTTCCATTACTAACCAACCAACTCCCCTTGATCTGCTGACCACAGTCCTGCTGACGTAGCCCGGTACGTCCTTTGATGTTTTTGCAGCTTATCTTCTCCCTGGCAGCCACCATCAGTTCCAGCTTCTTTGCAGCAGGGCTGCTGCTCGACCAAAATTAACGTGTGGCGTTACCCTGCGCTGTACACGGAACTTGGCGCTTTGCTCTGCGGCCGTCGAAAAATCTCCTGTTTAACAATAATCGAGTTTATCAGGGTCTCCTGGACTGAAGTTCTTTCGTGTCAGCTGCTCCCATCTAACATTGTCGTCTGCACGCGTGCTGAGGGCGTGCTCTGTGTCATCATGTAAGGGGACCTAATAGCTGCCTTCCAGTACCTGAAGGGAACCTACAGGAAGGCTGGGGAGGGACTTTTTACAAGAGTGTCCAGCGATAGGGCAAGGGGAAATGGGTTTAACTTAAAGGAGAATAGATTTAGATTGGATCTTAGGAACAAATTCTTCATTCTGAGGGTGGCGAGACTCTGGAATAAATTGTCCAGAGAAGCTGTGGATGCCCCTAGAGCCTTGAGCGACCCAGTCTAGTTGAGATGTGTCCCTGCCCATGGCAGGGAGGTTGGATTAGATGATCTCTAAGGTCTCCTCCAACCTAGGCCATTTTATGATTGAGGCAGCTGATAGGAAATACTGAGGGATACAGGCCGCCGGTATTGATCTGGAGGATTCTCTTCTTGTTGTCAGCCAGACGTCGAGCTATTGATCATGGCCCTTTGAGCCTGGTGGTCCAGCCAGTTTTCAGTCTGGCTAGCAGTTTGTTGCTTCAGCACGTACCCACTCGACTTCCAAATGAGAATGCTGCAGAAAACAGTGTCAAAAGCTCTACAGAAGTGAAAATAGATCTATATACATACACAGAGAGTTTGTATGTGTTAGAAATCTGTTTCCCTCCTCTACAAAGCTAGTCCACTCCCTTGGAGAAAGCAATTGGTAAATCTGCATGGACTGGTTCTGATGTATCTTCTTGTCCTACATGTGCTTGGAAATCAATTTCAAGAGGAGGGCGCTGCGATCTTTCTGCAAACTCAGCTAAAGCTGATGGGATCATTGTGGTCTTTTCAAGGCAGGGTATGTTAGCCCTCCCCCAGTTTCCATAGTTTCTCAGATAATGCTGGCAGCAGACTGGTGTATGTAGGGACTAGTTCTTTCAGCACTTTTGAGTGACTCCATGGTGGCCCCATGGGTTTGAATTCACCCAGCTTTTCTCTGAGTGGTCCCTAAAGAGACAAAACTGGTGCACACAGAGGCATGTGAGCTGGCTTTGGCTGTGCAAAGGCAAGAGAAATGTTGAATACCTTAACCTTTTTCTATCTTTTAGGTTGTCTCCTTCATCTGTCAAGACCCTTAATCATCTGAAATTGCTCTTGAAATCAGTGTATCCCTAGGATTCTTTTACTGCTACCCTTAATGTCCTTTGCTAGTCTTTTCCTAGCTTGGATTTTACTCCCAAGAAGGTTTTATGTTTCTCTCTTTTGTTACTTCTCCTTGCTCTGGTGTTTCGTATACTCATTTTTAGTTCAGCACTTAGGCACACACTTTCTTTACTGAAATTTCCAGTTTTCTTCCACAGCAGTCTGGTTTATTTTACCAGTTTATAAGTTGAACATTTCCTGTTAAAGTTATCCATTGCGATTTCTCTTTGTGTCAGTGGGACAGTTTGTCTTTCTGCAGCTGGGTTTTTGTGGTGTTGTTTTTTTCCCTCAAGATAGTTAGAGGGGCTTCTAAAACATAATAAAGATAGTTAAAAAGTAGTAAAGATGGAGTATGGGTACACAGCATGGAACTGAAGTATATGTGATAAAACTAAATGCAAGAGACATTGGCACTGATGTTAAGGCAGCGTGGCACTACAGCTTTTTCAGGCACACCTGGTAGTTATGTTAAATACTTGGAGGATTTCGGAGTCTAAGCAGAACCTTGACAGGATGAAGAAACCTTCAGTAGCGACACACGTATCAGAACACACCTACGTTTTCCTCTGGACTCGCAGCAACGTCTTCACGTTTCCAAGAAGGGAGCTGATAGCCACTATTTTGTTCATACGAAAGGAGGGGATATTTAAGTTGAGAAATCGTGAAAGCCTGGATTCGTTTTAGTTGGTGAAATTTGCTCTTGAAACTCAGCTCTTTCCTGAGAGCACAGTTCTTTGGTTTAATCCAAAAGGACACGTTCGTTGTGGCGGTGCCTTCAGCTTTATGGAATGAATGGAGCTTCTGATTCTGGTGCCTTATGCTGCTTTGGTTAGACTTTCTGCAATGAGAATTTCAAATATTCCTTCCTCCCACTGTAAGAATCTCAACAGCAGGTTAAGTAATCTGCCGGTTCTCAGCACTGCTCATCTTCTACGACAGCAAGATTAGTAAGCATGAAAGTGACTCCCCTAATGTCGCTATAGAATGACTGGATCTGCAATTTCTAGAGTTTTTTTCCTCGCCTATATAGAGGGGGTTGAAAGCACAGTATCCTTCAGGTCTAAGTCAATGGCCCTGGCTAATTATCAGGAACAGATGCAGTCCAACTCTAACCTTCCCGTGGAGAATTCCCTCTTTTGTAATGAAACAAGACACTTTTAAAGGAATCGTAGTCGTCTTTTCTGACGAGCTTACCTATCTACCTGCATTAATACTGACGAGAAGTGAAATAGGATTATTTCCCTCCCATGTCTTCCGTATTTGGGTTTGTTACTGGTTATCCAAGGAGAAGAATTCTTCACGCGTGCGATGCTTATCTGCCTGTTCAGGGGATGTTTGCGTAGAGAGCGTTCTTGAGGCTGTTTTAAAGGTTGTTGAGGGGCTTGAGCATCTGGAGGTAAAAAACCCAACTTGTCTTGAAGTAAATTCTTAAAGAAGAAAAACTCCAAAGCTTTCTTGGATACCAGATATTGCATTTTCTTCCCATGTAAAGTGAACATTATTGCAAGCTCTTTGCAATCAGCAGAGATGACAATATTTTTATGCCATGTTTCTGCTTTTGGAGCAGTAATTGATTTCAGGACTTGTGTCACTTAAAAAGAATTAGAGATCTGAATGACCAAAGCACTTTGATTTAACACAATATAGTTTGTTAGGTTGGTTTTAACAGATTATTGGTATGCTCTATGCCGTTATCACACATGCATCTTTTTTTAGTTTAACAAGCCTCCTTCTAGCTCACACATGCAACTTGAAGATGAAGAATAAAAGGACCTGTCTGTTACACGGCAAAATCTAGTTTTCTTTCAGATCTTGGGTACACTCAGAAGAGTGCCTATAGAAATAACCCAGTGGTGAGGGAGTGTTTCTGATACTTCTTGTACAAGCTGAGCCTGGTGACAGGAAAAACACTGAGTACTGCAAACTTCTCATTTCTAAAATGTGCAGGCATTTAGGAAAGAACCTGTGGAGGTGGACTTGAGGGCTAGGAGGAAGTATCACCGTAAGGTAGCATTTCCTAAAAGTATAAATGCGGAAGACAAAATATTTAAACGTTATGTTTTAAAAACCACATGCCAAAAAACCCTTCTTAAATCACCCTTTAAAAAAAAAAAAGTCTAAGGAGATGACATAATTAGCGAACACACTAAGTCTTGTTTTCCTTTTTTAACTAGCTTTTATGTAGCAAGTCTAATTCCTTTTCCTTCTAAGTTAGAAAAGGTTTTATTTGTTTAGGTTGAGCCGGATTTCTGTAAAAATACTTGGTAAGTCTAGGGGTTCTATTCAGATGGCGTTGCTCTAATATGCAAAGTTTCTTTGGAAAGGGGGTTTTCACTTTGAAGACAGGAACTTGAAATAGTTTAAGCACTCCTACAGAACTCTGCAAACTACCGTTTCCATTTTAATGGGTGGCACGCTGCACGTTTCCCTTCTTTTTCTCTCCAGGCTTTTGTGGATTACTTCTCCCAAGGCCTCCATGCAGAATACAAGAGCAAGGGCATCATCGTGCAGGTGAGTGGAGTTTGTTTCCTGCCGGCATGGTTACCCCAGCAACATCGGCGTCTTGGTAACAGAAGGGAATCCGCATATTATCTTTTCCGTGAATACGGCACGCAGACTAAGGATCCGGGTTTCCTTTTGATCCCCTTCTGAAGTTACTCTGAAACGACGCGTCCTGAATCGGCAAAACACATGGTTTGGTGGGTTATGGGTTGGTGGGGTCAATTTGTTTGCTTGTTTTATTTTAGCTGATGGTGGTAATTGAACTTTTAAGTATGAAGCGGTCCATAAAACTCCGTGCAACTCAGTGGAATACATCTCTACACACCTTCATCTACGGGACTGCGCTCTTGCGGTGTGTTTGTACATAGATTCAATGAGCAGCTGCTCAAAGAACAAGGATAGAAGCAGTCCTGCAGGGTCAGTGAATCAACTGTTAATGTCAGCATAGGAGCAAGAACAAACAAAAGCCTCAGAAGACCCTTTTGTACGTAATGGACTGTTTTAATTTTCTTTAGTACTGGGTTTCCACATTACTAATGAGTCTTGTGTCCCCCCCCGCCCCGTTTGTTTACTTTCTGTGGTTTTAATTATTTTTTTATGGGGCATAAAAACTAACCAAGCCGGTCTCTGAGTTTTGTGGGATTTTGCTTCAGTATCAGTCCTCACGTACTCTTAGTGTTTACTTCCAAAACGTAGCTGGAATTTTAAGCTTGGGTCGCAAACGCCGAGTTTTTCATTGCTTTTTACACCTGTTGCTCTCCAGAGCAATAGTCGGTTTGATAAAGGTGGGGTGAAGACAGCGGTGTATCTTTTTTAAATTCGGTTAGGAGTCTTCTTACAAACAGGATTCACCTGTGTCTGTGCCTGTCATTCCCCTGTTTGGTGGCTCTCAAAACCCTCTGAGCTTTGATGGCCCTGTGAGGGGTAAGGCACAAAGTTGCCTGGCTTATTTGTATCATCAGGAGATGTGAGAACACAACTTTTAATGGTTAAAACCATAGAAAAGTTGCTGCCACCTTAAGTCCATGTTACTGCTTTGACGTGCTGGATTATTTTTTTTTTTTCCCTTTACACATACTTAGGAAAAGAAGAACTTATCGCTAGGAAATACCTTGCAGTTTGGTATCCAGACATTTAGTCCCACATGTTTGGTGTAATGTCCCATCCTGGTTCTTGAGAGAGGATTGTGTTAAGAAAAAAAAGACAGTTGCTAGATGAGCTAGTCACCGAGCCCTTAAGGGGAACCTCATTTAAACCAAGATTTAAACCTTGCGCTCAACATCTCATGCTGCAAGTTCCTTATAGCTTTCTTTTCACTTTTACACTTTTATGTTAGTTCTGTCTGCCCAGTCTGGTTCAAAATGTGTCACTCACAGATTCAGCTTCATGTTCTTCCAATCCATTTCATCTGTGTGCAGCGCACCCCTCTTTTAATATGTGGTCACAGTCTCCAAACGAGGCTGAAGGAACTGATGGGATATTTCTCTTTTCTCCATCAAGAATTTGAAGTCTCCTAGCTGGGTTTCTTTCCTGCTCAAGCCTACCTACAAACTCTGAGGCATGGGCTCCTTCAACACGCAGCTAAACCGGCAATAGAGATGAGTGTGGATTTTTTAATTTTATTTTTTTGGGGGTAGGGGAGTGTTGCAGTACAATGTCTAAGCTCTTTCTCTGTTTTTGGCTGCTTTCTCGGGTAAAGTTGCTTATAGTTACCTCACTTTGAGAGTATTTATAGACAAGAGGAGACAAAAGTGTCCCGTCTTTGAGCTGTGTTGCTCCTCTGTGCAATTTCGTCTCCTCCTCCCCAAAATTTGTTTAAATACTACTCTGGCATTTTGAGAGGAGAACAAAGAAGGGGCAGGTGCTGTTAATTTCTGACTATGGAGCACCTATTGAAACTGCAATCGGAAATAACCTGATAACTCATGCTTGGCTAAAGGCACTAAACACAGTATGAGTGTAGAATCATCGAATGCGTTGCGCTGGAAGAGACCTCTAAAGGTCACCAAGTCCAGGGACAGGGAGCAGGGACACCTTTAACTGGATGAGGTTGCCCGGAGCCCCATCCAACCTGACCTGGAATGTCGCCCGGGATGGAGCCTCCACCACCTCTCTGGGCAACCTGTGCCAGGTACATAGTACAGGAAAGATTTTCTAGCTTTTGGGTATGGAAAAGCTAGAAAAAATAGTTTTCAGTGCCTTAGATTTTTAACGTTAGGAACCAATGAAGAATTAAATCTGGCTTGCTTTATCAGCAGTTACTTTTTCCTGTACAAAAGTTCACAGGCTGTGGTAAGCTGTCTTTCTGTAACTCCCGTGATGGCCAAGGGTGATGAATTCTGGCCTTTTTTTTTTTTTTTTCCCCTAAATGCAGACAGCAAATTGCCACACTGAGTTATGTGGGCCTGGTGACCAATAGCTGTCACAGCTTCAATTTGTTATGTTAATTTTATTGCAGCCCGTGTCCTTGTCATCTTGTTCCGGCCTAAGTCACTATAAACCGCTAATGAATATTGCAAGTAGCTTCATGTGAAGACTGGCTGATAGATCTCCTTCAAGCCCTTAGGAAGATTGTGTCCCCCTTAGATTCTTTGAAGTTCATCTCGGTGACCTTCAGGAGTGTAGCGCTTTTAATTCTGGATTTGCACCTCCAGCTGAGATCACCATTGAAACCAGTTGACTTCTACCTGCAGAGCAGCACGGCATGGAAGGTAGAAGCAACGTGCTGGTGGGATTATACCGGCTTCTGAAGTTCAATCTCAAGTCTTGCCCGTTTTGCCTTCTCTTTGGCAGCTTAGCTTTGATAGTATATAGTGCTTTTATTGGGATGGAGTCATCTTTAGATTAAAAACACACCTTTTCAGGCCTGCTGAATTTTACAGCAGCGGCACAGTAATAGCGTAGGTTAAAATTCTGTGTATGTACGTGGAGAGAGGCAAAAAGAGAAGGAATGCAGAAGACGACGAGAAGGACTTCTTTCAAGACTTTTCTTGGAAAAATCTCCCCTTGGAAAGGTTTCTGCAGACTCTTCTGAAACTTCTGTTCTTTGTGTCTAAAAATATTGCTTGGTTCTTTGCCCCGTTATTTTAACTCCCAATTTTTAACTTGGGTTAGCTAATGACATTTTTCCCCTCTATACTTTGTTACAATGCGAGGCAAAAGCACGAGGGGTAAAAACTTTCACTACCTATTTTCTTCTGCCCGTATTCACCACTTAAAATATCAGACCACAAAAACGTGGAAGCTTTTCTTTGAAGGGATCTCTAGAACGTTTTCTAGTCTAACCCCCTGCTCTCCTACCAGTGGGGTTGCCGCTAACACTAGGTCGTGCGCTGGTCATGGCTTTATCCAGCCAAATCTTGAAAAACTCTGAGGGCAGGAACGCTGCGACCTTTCTGGACAGCCTGTTTGAAATAACTTTAGGCAGGTAGTGGCTCACCACCAGCCTCCTTTTCACCACGCTGAAGAAGCCCCGCTCGCTCTCCAGGTGTTCACAGAGGTGTGCTGTCAGCAGACCAATAGCCAATGGCATTATCTTCTTTCTGCTTTTTAGCTTTGCTGTTCAAATTTCTGTACAGGTCAGCTTTGGCTGCTGCAGTTCTTCCGATTCCCCTTTACGTACCCCCTCCTCCTTTTCCCCACAAAGAAATGGAGAGAAACTTCACTGGAAAAACCCGAGAGTTCAGGTCTTTTTTTAAAAAAGTAAAGTAAAATAAGTGATAAAGTTGTGTGAACAAGCTCTTCTGACTTTTGGGGGGTTATTTTCGTGTGACTGTAGCATAATTAGGAGAGCTGTCTGCTCAGGACTTCAGATCTTTCATCCATAAAACATTCAAGACCCCGATTTTAATAAGCCAATTGTAATAAGTGTCTGAGCTGTAAGCAGTGGCAAATGTTTTAAGTGAGCAAGAGACACTGTATTGACACAAGATACTTTTAAGGCTTGTTCTGAAAATGGAGAGCGGGCTAGGATTTCCCTGGATAAAGACAAGGATTTTTCTATAAAGTTACTTGTCCAGGTCATGTGGATTATTATAGACTTAAAGAATGGTTTGGGTTGGAAGGGACCTCAAAAGGTCATCTAGTTTCAACCCACCTGCCACGGCCACGGACACCTCCCACTGGACCCGGTGGCTCAAAACCTGTATCTGCTTAAACGCAAAATTCTAAAAGGCTTCAGGCAGTGAATTTTTCAATTATTATTATTTTTTTAATTACTCTTCTGTCATGCCAGTTTTCAGTATGGTTCATGAATGCCTGAGCTCCTTGTGGGGAGGAGGAAACAACTTAATGGATTCAACAGGTCTCTTCATAGTTGTTAAAATATGTCACAGTTAATTGAAAGATGTGAAATCTAATGTATCTGAAATTAAATATATCTGTGTCTGTTTTCTGGAGAGAGGAAAAAAAAAAAGGTTGAGAGTCTAACCCTGTGCTTCTGTGGGCCTTGAAGTCTGCGGATCAGTAGCTAAGCAGTAGTGCTGCCGTGTGCTTCCCTTTTCAGGTACCCACATGCACAATCGTTCGTCCCTTCGTGCTATCCAGTGGCTTAACTGGCTAGAGGAACACGGGAAATAAACCATAACTCTCTTCCCACTCGGTGTGGGGATGTCGCAGAAGTAATTTGGTGGTGAATGAGAAGCTTGGAATTATTTTCTTTTTTTCTAAACGCCAAAGAAGAAATTCAGTTTAGAATTGTAATCTGAAAAATGGAGGAGGTTCCCATTCTGGAGCTGAAACTAGGTACTAGTGCTGTTATGGTAACAGAATGAGTAGTTTTCTTGTCAAAACATTTGTAGCTTGTTGGTGACTTTGAAGGCAATGGTAAGTGCTCACGCTTCTCCCGTGTTTTTCCTCTTCATTTGAAAATGGACTCGGTGTGGTATGTTCTTGAAAGTCCTATTTATACAGAGAAGTGCACAGTTTTGATGTTTGGAGGTGAAGGAATGAGCAGGCATACCAGTGCTCACCGCCTTGCTGCGGTCAAATTCCTGTTGAAACGCGCACGGGTGAATAACGTCAAGGAGAGTTCGAGTGGTCCTTTCCCCCCGTGCTACGCTGCTGAGAGCGCAACGGGGATTGTTTCGGAGGTCGAGCATGTCTGGTCATCGTTCTTGAAGAGACTAACATGGGCAAGCAGGTTTCCGAACTGTAACTTGCCCAAATAACACTGAGTTTTGAGACATTATTCTCATTTTGAGACCTGCTAGCGCAGCATAAGGGAACACACGCTTCTCGGATGTGTAAAGGCACGTGAATCGCAGCGCTCCTGCTGGCAGGAGCAACTGTGAGTGTTGAATCAGTAGACAGGCCACAGGCAGTGCCTCAGGAGGTCCGTATCAAAGCGCTGGT